GGGGATATACAGTCATAAAACTTGTCATTACAATTTAGGGATGTTTAAACAAAGAGGGTACCAGAGTTCTCCAGATGGATCTCAATTGCCTTGGGGTGATCTGGAATTGGAAAGAGCAGACCAGTTAAATCCTTAGATAATAAGAGGGTAACTTCAGTGTAAAAAAAAGAACGGTAGCTGGCCTGAGTGGAAATACGTAAGAACCAAGAGCAGTCCTTTTTTTGGTATCAATAACTACAACAAAAAGGCACGTGCAATGAGATTTCAAAACCAGGGAAATGTTTGCTACAATTTTGAGTCAAGAAGTAAACATATTTTAGTTATCATCTTGAGTCATGACTTTAAATGTCTATTTTAAGTGACTTTGAAATTATTTCTGACTTTCTACTGTAATCCACTTCACATAATTAAAAAGCACATATAGAATTACATACATTGTCAGTTCAGAATGGTTAGAGTAAGGCCACTCCAAATGCTACTTAGTTCTGGCCATTTGTATATGGATTTGAGGGAGCAGTTTCTTGAGATATTTTTATTGACAACTTGTGAAAGTGTGGTTTATTAAATCTACTTAAGAATCGCTCTAAAAAATAGGAAAAGACGAATACGCTGTCAGGAACAGTTGTGTGTAATTAACAGAAAGCAGGAGGAGGAGAAGTCTTAGTCACAGCCAATCAAGTTCTACTGCATCACAACCTTTGGCTTCTTCTTTCCATCACAAGCATCTGGCAGATAAAAATTATTCAGATCCTAAAGAGGATTGGGCTCTCGCTGAATCCATTAAACTTAATGAGTGCAAAGCAAGGCATATAAATTAGCTAGGCAGAGTGATAATAATCAGAAGTAAATTAAATTAAGATGAAGTGTGAAAAAGAAAAGAAAACTGGAATAAACCAGTCTCATACCAAATGGTGTGTTCTATTAGCTTCCTAAGTAATTGTTCTGAGTAATTTTGTGTTCTGGGTGGATGGTGGTTATGAGAGGGCTCTGGGCTTTGGCCTTTAGTGTACTTGGCATTATCTGCTGTATGTACAGAGATGAGTGAACAGCACACACAGCCGTGTCCATGCTTGTTCTGAGTGCAGTCCTAAGTGGCTACGGGACGGTGCTTTAGAAATGTGGTCTGCGGTGCAGAGTGCGTGCACCTGCTATTCCCATGCCGGATGAAGAGCCCCTTCAATGCAATGCAATCATTACCATGCTGCTGACTGGCCTGGACTCCACTGTGGACAGATGGACATGACTCAGAAGGGGAGGACTGGGGGAGGTGAAGCTGTGCAGCTCATTAAAGCATTTCAAAATCCCGAGGCTTTTACCCTCTCACTGCCCCACCTCCTGCTCCCTCACCAAGGCTAATTGGGTTGGCCCATTTCTTCTTCTACTAAAAGCCTTTATATTGCTTTTCAGTGACATATTTTTTCCTCCAAGCTACTTGTGACATAACCTTTCAGTGCTTTTTCTCTCATTGAAAGAACTGGGGACAGAGAGACTGATAGGGATTTACCTGACTCGGGCTCTATGTGTACTGGGATGGGCTTATTTCACAAGCTACCATGGAGTGTTACAGAAAACATTTGAATAGCAAGACAGAATTGCTACAATAAAGCATTTGATTTTTCAAGTTTAAGAGAGGAATTAGGTTATTCCTTGAGGAAACTGCTCAGTAAGGCACCAGCTTGACAGCATAAACGGGGAGTTGTAGGAGTGGGCTCTGGACTTGGGGTTGAGTCCTCACCCTGCTGCTCATTAGCTGTGTGAGCTCAGGTAAGTAGCTGAATTCTCTGTGCCCCAGTTCCCGCAGCTGACCACTAGGTGAGTGAGGATAAAATGAGTTAATACATGTAAGACAGGAGACTATCTGGTTCAGTTTACATTCAATAAATATTAAACATTTTTGTTACTGTAACAGAGCATTTTTATTTCTAATGAATATTCTATGAATACTTCAAACATTGACTAGGACATCTTCTCAGAACGATACATATCAGCAACAATGATAGTGAGACTTGAAAATAAAAGAGAACAAAAATCTGTTAAAAGGATGGAGGAAGTACGTGTACCAAGTACAGGGATGAGTTTGACTATATAAGGTGAGGTCTAGATAGATCGTCCTAAAAATTTGCTGCTATGTGATTCTCTCTGATAAGAAGAAGCAGATAGGGACCGGCAGTTGGCATAATGGCTACAGTGCTGGACTCCCATGTAGTTGACCACTGTTCAAGTCTCGGACCCGGTGGCTTAAACTCATGCGGGACGCGTGTGTTTGCGTGCCCAAAATCCCGAGAGGAAAATGGAGGAGAAGGGGCTGCAGTGTGGCCATTCCCCCTGGGGGGGTGATTTCTCACTTTCTGTCTCTCTGTCTCTCTCTGTCTCATCTTTCTGGCGAGCGCACGCGCCCTATAGCAAAAACCTCTAAAAACAAACAAACAAAACAGAAAAAAGCAGCAGATAGATTTTTCTTAAGAAAGAAACATTTTAAAGTATGAATTCTAAGAGTCATTTGTTATGTGGATGCTTAAATAGGGAGTTGCAAAGAACAAATCAATGTCCTTAGTCCTAAAAAAGTTGATAAAATGACAAGATTATACGGATAGAGAACGGTTTCTCAAATTTATTCTTATCAAATATTAGCTCCTACTCCCCACTTCTTTTTGTTTTTGTTTGTTTGTTTGTTTTTTTTTTTTGTTTTTTTTGAGAAATTTTTGCTATAGGGCACGTGCGCTCGCCATACAGACAGAGACAGAGAGACAGAAAGCGAGAAATCACCCCCAGAGGGGATGGTCACGCTGCAATCCCTTGTCCTCCATTCTCCTCTCGGGATCTTGGGCACACACGCACACGCACCAGGCATGAGTTTTAAGCCACCAGGTCCGGGACATGAACCGCAGTCAACTACATGGGAGTCCAGCGTCACAGCCATTACGCTAACTGCTGGTTCCCGCGGGTGAGAGGTCTTTGTGGTGAGAAAATAGTTCTGTATTTTTTAAAAAGTATGTTTTTAATTTATGATACACCAGATATGCATGCACATGAGACTGTGTGTGTGAGAGAGAGAACAAGAGAGAGGAAAGAGAGAGAGAGAGAGAGAGAAGACCCCCTGCACAGGGTCTGTTCACATGTGTTTGCCTTTCTTCAGTTCTCCAGCCTCTCAGACCCAGGGCATGCATGGGGCTGACCAGGCTGAGGATTTGAACCACAGTCATCATGTGGTATCCAGCTTCACTTGAGCAGCGTATCACTGCTACATCATGGGACTGGCCCTAGTTCTGCATCTCGATAGCGGTGGTTGTTAGACAAATCTACACATGTGATAAAATGGCAGAGAGCCGCACGCATGAGCTGTACCTATGTCAGTGTCCTGGCTCTGATGTTAGAGCTAAAATCACACTGGGGTAAGGGTAGACAGGACCTTTCCTTACTACTTTTGCCACTTTTTGTGAATATATGTTTTAAGATAAAAAGCAAAGAAAATGAATATTCTTGGAATGAATATTATTTACATTGTCATGAAAATACTGCATGGTTGGCTAGAGTTTCAATTTTTCTTTGAAAGGATTATTTTCCTTAAAATAATTGTAAGCACTTGTACTTCTCTTCAGTTCCCTAATCACATAAACTAATTTAAAAATTTGTTTCAAATTTTCATTTTCCTTCCAGGATTGAATTTTCCTGCCAGGAATGACAGGCTGATGGTGAGCCTCTCAAATTCCCACTGAGCCATGCTCTCTATTTCTATCCATGAGGAAGCAGATGTTTCAGTTCTGGGTCCCCTTGATTTTATATTTCTGGGTTACTTTCAGCAACAGGGTTTTATTTACGTATGTGATGCTGTCTCCCTCTGCCTACCCCTTTTATCTCAGCTAGTCTCTGATGTTGAGCATGTGAAATCTCTGACTCTCAAAGAGGCAAGCACTGTGTTTATCTGAGTGTTTCTGACTTGCTGAGAGCTAGTCAGGAAGTTGCAAAAAAGTCGTGTTCAATACTTGATAAGATAGGTGGTATTCCAGATTTCTGTAACATTAACTAGAGGGATATTAATTGTCTTCAAGTGCCAGTATCCACTTGGGATGCTGTTACCTGACTTGGGGGATGCAAACACATACCTTTCACCTGCACGAAGTCGAGCTGGTGAATGGATTGCAGCAGAGGGCTGTTGTCCAGACTCAAGTCAAAGTCCGTGGTCATCCTGGGAGTGAGCGTGCCTTTTCCCCACTGATCCTCAGTCAGGTGCACTCTTCTTATGAGGGCATCAGAAATCTAATCACAGCAAAGACCACAGCCTAAGAAATACAACACCACACTGGAAACACAGCAGTGTCCTTCAACCTCAGGGGACGTTACCACCGAACTGTATGGGGTACAGTGTATGTTACCACCAGCTGTCTTGGTACAGCTGGTGATGAGGACCCTGATAGGCAAATAGGTATGGCTTTTGTGTCTTAGGGGGATAGTATGAACAGATAGTGGGGGTTAATTAAAGTAATAGACAAACCTGGGTATATGATCATGCTATTTATGACAGATCCACTAAAAGCCAACAGACTGAAGGAATGATAGATGAGTGATTTACCTTATTGACTTATCTTATTATGAAGTGTGGCTCCAAGCTTTGAGGTCTGAGTATCCTACCAAGAATTGGAAATGGCCTTTCTAAAATAGTTTAGAGAGGCTTCGTATGTCTTACATTTCAAGTGCACTGTATTCATGTGATTAACATTTCACTCTTTAGTAGCATACTGTCATTTTTAATAGTCACTCTTGTCCAGTTTAGTAGAATATAAGTTGGAAGGGATCACCATGTTCCTTAACAAAAGGTTCCTTATCACTGGGATCAAAACTTATGTAAAATCCAGCATATAACATTGCATGCATGAATGCAACACTGAAGAATAAAAAACAAACAAACAAACAAACAAAAAAACCCTTTGCCATATTTGGGAAATCCCTAACATCCTGGCCAGTGGGCGGTCAAGAAGGGAGAAACCTTGCACTGAGATATTTCCAGCTGAAAAAAATGTCTAAGAGACATTAGTGAGGACCCAATTCTTAGGCAAGGCAAGGCATCCCATTTTGGAAGAACTTGGCAAGAGTTGGGTTTTCATCATTAAACACAAGAACGAAAAAAAGCCAAAAGCCCATACTCTCCCAGTCTTGTAGTGCGTGGTGACAGAAACTTCCAGGAGTTCAGTGGAGTTTATTTAGCAAGTGCCCTCCCCACAGACTGTAGTGTAGACGTAAGTTCTGTTTTAAAGGTACCCCGGCCCAGCCCCGTTATTTACGACTGATCCACTAAAAGCCAGCAACCTTACAGAATAATGTGTTGGTGATTCGTTAATCCCATTAGAACGAATAGTCTTTTTCTTTTTTTAGAGGTTTTTTTTTTGTGTGTGTTAGGGGATGTATGCTCCCAGGAGAGAGAGAGAGACAGTGAGAGGAAAAGTGAGAAATCACCCCCTTCCCCCCCAGGTGGGATGGCCATGCCATAATCCTTCTCCTTCATTCTCCTCCCGGGATTCTGGGGCACACACACACACACACACACACACACACACACACACACACACAGCCTGCATGAATTTCAAGTCACTGGGACTTGAATAACAGCTGGCCATGTGGGAGTCCAGCAACAAAACCACCAGGCTAACCGCTGGCCCCAGAATCAACAGTTTTAATAGGTGTCCTAGTCTCAGTCCCATGGAACATTTATTATAAAATATGTGGTAGAAACTGGTTGCCACTTACCTGCAGAAAGCCACTAGGATCATTTTCCTTAATCACCTCCAAGCAGTACTCCATGAGACCTGTGGTCTGGCGCAGTTTCACTGTGCAGTGAGAGATTTGATCTCGAACCACCTAGGATTGATGAGAGAACAGGTCCAAAATGGCAGAGGTTAGCACAGAAATAAACTGGGGCTTTGGAAAGCTTCTTCACACCAGAATCCGAGGAGTCATTGAATAGAACTAAATTTATGAGACCATGTTGTGGCAATATCTGCTGTGGACAATGGCTCTGGGAGAAAGATCACATACAGTTCTTACAGGAAATTGGTAACAGAATCTGAATGCAGATGGAGCTCTGTGGATCTGGTGACCTCAGCGCATCAAGGTACACCTTCCACAGGTTCTCCTTGTGCCATTCTTTTCTGAGAGGCGGACTCCACAGTGAGCTGCTCAGAGGGAGGTCACCAGGTGCCCATCAGGGAGCTGTTGCTCCCTGATGAGTAGCTGCAGCTCTGCCTTGTGGCACCGACACCTACCTTCTCCTGCCTTCTGCCTGACCATTCTGAAGGGCAGACACCATCATCTGAACCCAGTTCTCTTCCCTTCCTGCCCCGTCTCCACTGCCCCAAGGATAGTCAGTATTGCTCCTCCTTCCTCGAGTGTGCAGTGGGGGCTGGAGAGTTAAAGTAGAACTTGTGAGAAATGAGATAATGACAATAGTAATCTGGAGAAGAAAGATGGATACAGAATTAAGTTTAAAGAATAACCCACTTAGACTCACTGCCTCATTTTGCAAAGCACTTTTAAGGGCTGCTCTATTTGCCAAGCTGTGAGTCAGCTTTAACCCAGATAGGCATCTCTTGGAACACGCTGTTTGCGCCTCTGGGAAGTTTTCTTTGCCCAGTGACAAACACAAGACATTCTTTGAAAAGTTTCTTTCTTCAGAAATGTTCGTCGTCTGTGTCCTTTGCTCACTGACCCAAATCCTGAATGGTTTTTGGAGCACAGAATTGAACAAGGGATTTCCAAGAACCTTAATTACACATCCCTATATTGACACTACTTCTCAAAAGCCTCAAAGATATCCAGTATTTTGAATTTTATGGATAATAATTCAAAGGGGTTTTAATAACTGTTATTTTAAAAAACCCTTCCTGCTCTTTTTTTCATTTTTTGGTTACAAATTTCTTTTTTGTTAAATATTAGTATATTTAATTCCCAAAGGAATTGGAAAATAGATGGAAAAAAAGCAAATAATCTCATCATCCTAATGTAAATTTTTAAAGCATTTTAGTTTTTTTCTGGAACCAAACGTTTTATAGGTGCAATCATAGTACATGACAGTTTACCACCCCCATACTATATCACAGGCATTTTCTACGCTGGCACCATTGATACATGCTGTTGGCTACGTAAATATCCCGTTGATTGGGTGATCATAATCTATTTAATCATTTTGTCCCCCTATTGTAGGACATTTGACTTCTTTTGCCAACTAATCCATTATTTTTTGTTCCCATTTTTTATTGTGATAAAATGTACACAACATAAAATTTTACAGTTCGCCCATTTTAAAATGTACAGCTCTGTGTCACCAAGTATATTCATATTGTTGTGCAACCACCACCACCAACCATCTCCAGAAAGTTTTTCTTTTTTCTTTTTTTTGGAGAGGTTTTTGCTATAGGGCGCATGCACTCGCCAGACAGACAGAGAAAGACAGAGAGATAGAAAGCGAGAAATCACCCCCCCAGAGGGGATGGCCATGCCGCAATCCCTTCTCCTCCATTCTCCTCTCGGGATCTTGGACACGCACGCACACGCGCCCGGTGTGAGTTTAAGCCACCGGGTCCGGGACTCGAACCGTGGTCAACCATGTGGGAGTCCAGCGACATAGCCATTACGCTAACTGCTGGTCCCTCCAGAAAGTTTTTCATCTTCCTAAATTAAGACTCTGTACCAGCTAAACAGTAACTCCTCATTCGCCTTCATCCCAACCCTTGACAGTCACCATTCTACTTTCTATCTCTGAATTCGACTATGCTAGGAACCTTTATAAGGAACTGACTTGATTCATTTAGCATGACATCTTTAAGTGTCATGCATGTAGTGGTGTGTCAAAATTTCCATATTTTGAAGACTGGGTGGTATTCCAGAGTATGTGTATAATATATTTTGTTTATCCATTGATGAATTCTTGGATTGCTTCTACCTTTTTTTGGTCATCGTGAATAAAACTATTATAAATATGGATGTAAAAATGCCTGTGCAAATTTCTTCTTTCGCTTCTTTGGGGTGCATATTCTGAAATGGAATTGCTGGATCAGATAATAATTCTTTATTGAATTTTTTTGATAAGTCATCATACTGTTTTCCACAGCAGCGGAATCATTTTATATTGCTACCAGCAATGCATGAGGGCTCAAATTCCTGTGAAGTGATGTCTCGTGGTTATGATGTGCATTTCCCTGATGACTAGTGATGTTGCATATCTTTTCATGTGCTTTTTGATCATTTGTATTTTTTTTTTTGATAAATGTCTATTCAAGTCTTTGACCACTTTTAAATTGGGTGTTATTGTTGTTGCTTTGTTGTTAAGTTGTGTGGTTCTTTAGGTATTCTGTATATTAATCCTATATCAAATATATGATTTGCAAATATTTCTCCTGTTCTGTGGGTTGCCATTTTACTTTTTTGACAGTGTCCTCTGAGACACAAACATTTTTAATTTTGATGAAGTCCAATTTACTAATTTTTTTTCTTTTGTCATCTGTGCTTTTGGTGCCATAATAAAGAGTCATAGCCAAATCCAATGTCCTGAAGTTTCCCCCTTTTTCCTCCTGACAAATTTATAGTTTTAAGTCTTACATTTAGGTCTTTGATTCATTTTAAGTTAATTTTGTAAATGGTGGTAGGTAAGCATCTAATTTAATTTTTTGTCATATGGATATCCAGTTTTTCCACTTTTGTTGAAGACTGTGCTGTCTCCTATTGAATGGTTAGGCACCCTTGTGGAAAAGTCATCTGATCATATATGCAAGTTTATTCCTGGATCCTCTATTTTATCCATATTTATGCCTTAATCTCAGTATCACACACTTTTTATTCTATTAGCTTTACTGAAAGTTTTGAAATTAGGAAGACTGAGAAGTTTAACTTTATTTTTTTTAAGATTGTCTTGACTGTTTTGGCCTTCTAATATAGTGACAGATCAATTTTTCTTTGTAAGAACTATTCATTTTATTTATTTATTAATTTTTAATTTGACCAGATAAAGATAGAAAGAGAGAATGAGAGAGAGGGAATGTGAGAAAGCAAGACCCCAGGTCTGAATTTTGAATTGTGGTTTGGCCATGTGGGCGTTCAGCACTTCAACTACTACACCACCTACCGGCCTCTGTTACTGTTTTTTTTTTGTTTAATCTTAATCATTGAACTTCATAATAATCGGTGAAAGAAACCAACTTTGGGGACCAGTAGATGCCAAAATGGTTATGTCACCAGATTCCCATGTATCCGACCACAGTTCAAGTCCTGGACCTGGTGGCTTAAACCTCACACTGGGCATGTGTGCACGTGTGCCCAAAATCTCAAGAGGAGAATGGAGGAGAAGGATTGCAGTATGGCCATCCCACCTGGGGGGTGATTTCTTGCTTTCTGACTCTGTCTCTCTGTCGAGCACACATGCCCTATAGCAAAAATCTCTCTCTAAAAAAGAAAAAGAAAACAACTTTGATGTGAGGTTATTTTTGTGATGGTTGATTTGTTTTCTTTTTATATCTAATATGTTTCTGCCAACCATCACCACTATTTGTTGGCCTGGGCTCAAGAAATAAAATTAATGCATTTATTTTTTATTCAGAAAGTACCAGGAAGATTAGGCTCCTGCTTCATCGGGAAAAAATAAAAAACAAAAACAAAACCTCAGAAGTAAAACATTTAAAAATTCAAAACAAGTGACTATGGCCTCTATGCTATTATCCTCTGCTGCATAAGGCTTAACTAAATTGTTCCCAGAAGATGCTTTAATATTTTGGTAGCTAGTACTTTTAGTGCTACTAGGTAGCAGAGACCGCAGGAGTCCCATCTCATTATCTAAATGGCATCTGTCCTTTGACAACTGGTATTGAAAGCCTGAATAACAAGTACAGAACAGATCTGAGCACTGTAACCCAAAGAGAGCCTGTTTTTGAGACAAAATAGACTGAATTGTGTTTACTTTCCAGAGGATTCAGCTCAATTATATACAAATGTATTGGAATAAATGCTCATAAAATTCTGTGTCTGCTTTAATTTTCTTTCCAGGTGAGGTTTATTTAGTGCCGAAATTGGAACTTTCTGTCTAGTCTTAATGCCTCTGCCAAGAGGCCAGCAAGTTTCAGAGGGATGTGCCATTGGTACCTGCATTCTACAGTCCAAGCTTCCTGGAAGGACTTAATTTGTGGCTCTCAAGCTTCACATTATTTTATTTTATTTTATTTTATTTTTTTGCATTTTAATCAGTCTACAATAATCACAATAGCCTGTGATAAAATTCTTGCTTAAAATTAAGCCATAGGATTCCCAGAAGAGTATTTTTAGATGTGTTGTAATTGACTTCTAATTTCTGAATTAACTTAGCAAGGTTTCCCACCTTATGGAAATGAACCAAATAATTAGATCTTTTAAGAGTATAAATATTTTTTCCTTAGTTGAGTATCTTAATCAATTTCCTTATTTGCTACCTTCTTTAACCTGTGTTATTCATACAAGTTCTTTTGATCATTTATTTCTACATTGTGTTTTTCATGAAAAACAATTCCTAGGAAGCCAGGTCATGTCACTTTTTCCTTTGAGTTGCACATTTTATACTTTGGCTTTGATGCTCCAGAGATACTTGGTACCATGTTTGCAACTGGCTAGTCTCAAGAATTCTTCTCAGGAACTGTGCAAGTTGCAGGGATGACACAAATAGGGACTGGGAGAACATTCTTCCTGCTTTCACTTGAACTAAGGCCTAAACCATTTCTTATGGGGTAGTGAAGTAATCTGTGGCCACTATTTAGAGAAGGCTTTCAAAATTTTATCAGCAGAGCCACCATTTGTTCTGCATAGCATGCGCCAATCAATCATTTGAACAGTTTTGGTAAGTG